CGCTCCCGTCCAACCACCACAAGTGGGTCCCGAAACCTCAGAGCCCAGTGATGACCGCATTGAAGTTGCTGAAGTGGAGGCTGCTTTTGAAAGTTTCGAGGAAGAATTAATGGTACAAGTACGTACAATTCAATTCGCAAGGGATTGGTAAACCATTTTTGTTTTCTCTTCTGGTTTTTATGTGCCTGAAATGAGACACCTGCTTCATTTATCAAGTTCTAGGTACGACGCCCGGTTTGCACTCGTTGAAACGCTCAGCGTTGGTACGAGAATTAACCATTATGCTTGCAGCTTACAGCTGAAAAAAACTGAATAGGACAGGTTGTTTCTTTCATGTCACTTGATTGTCGAGCTCTAAGTGTTCGAAAAATTTACATGTATTTCAGATAATCCACATAAACTTGCCGGTTGATATGTATACATATACATGCATATATATATATACATGATCACTTTCATAAATTTAGACTGTAGAGCAAGCCCCAAAAAGAAAGTCCCTTGATTCGCTCGTAGGCGCGAAAGTGCCAGGCTGCTCAGGTTCACTTTTGACAACCATCTACCAAGCGCCTACGTGCGGCAGTTTTGGTTACTGTCTTGAGACTGCCTATTTTGATAAAGGAATAGAAAGAAGAGTAGAATTAAAGAGATGATTCAGAATTCTCAGGCTTGTTTCAAGGATAATCAAGTGCACAAGCGCCACTGTCTGCAGCGCTCAGCCGTATCACCCAGTGTCTAACCACCGCTTATCGTGATCCCAAGATAAACATTTAGGTTACCTAATCCGAGCTGTAAGATCGATTCTCCTGATCCGGATATTCATACTATCATGCTCTTCGTCGGCGTGGGCTACCGCGAAGTATGTCGTGCCCTTAAGTCTTGGGCACCATTTGGATAAACCTCTTTCCGATCCATCTAGTTTTTCCCCTCAATCCCAAACGATCCCAGACTCCTCTTTACGCCACCCATTAAATGTCACTCAGCATTTTGCCAGTGAGATCAACCAGCCAGAAGTTAGGATTTTTGGAGCCAAGATTCCCTTTTCACTTAGCCGCGTTCAATTTTCGCACACTATCAGATTGGTCAACAAACTGCCCTAGCCAGAACCCTTGAAACTTTCGATTTTGATGTATGCTGTGTCTCCGGACCACGCATGGAAGACCCTACTTCAATCATCCTGCGTTCTCCTAACCCAATCTCGACCCTCCATGTGTCAGATGATTCGGTATCCGAAGCTCGTGGTGTTGCTGGTATTGGGATTGCGATAAGTGCCAAAGCTGAGCGCTCGCTTCCTGATTGAATTCCGGTCAGTAGCCAGTAGTAGTCAGTACGTCTCAGCGGTTCAGCACGGGTTAACATCTACAGAAAGAAGCGTTGATGCTTGTTCGTTGTATCGGTGTACCCACCGACCGATTGCACAACACCTGAAATGAAGGATGAATTCTACCAGGATCTTTCTCAATTACTACAACGGATATCGTGGTAGGCACCGGAGACTTTAATGCTCAAGTAGGATCCCTGGACGAATCAGAAAAGCTTCTTGGCGGACCTCATGTAATCCCGGCCAAACGTACGGACAACAGAGAGCGCCTACTTCAACTCTGCGCGGACCACGGATTGTTCCTGTCAAACACGAACTTCTCACACGGGGAACGATACCGCCAATCTCTTCATTGTGCTGGACCCATATCGACCACATCGTCATCAGTTACCGTTGGAGGGGATCGACTTAAGACTGCCGCTCTTACTGATCAACACCTGTGGATACGGACCACGCTTTGCTGCGAGCCTTAGGCCTGGCAAACGGTCGCAAAAAAGCCACCGACAACGGATACCCACGATACGGCGTCAGCGATTGCTGCAAATCGGCATTCGGAGTGGGACTCTCCAATCGCCTATCAGCTCAGTTACCAGTCGAAGGACTCTGGCGCTGCCTTTCCCTGAAGGGTGTGCTCGAGAAGTTTATTTCAATATTACAATCCCTCTTTAATAATAGCCGGAGCCGAGTCCAAGCTTACGGCACTTGTTCACCCGAGTTCACCACGGAAAGTGGTGTTCAACAGGGTTGCCCTCTCCCTCCATTTCTATTTCGCGCCAGACGTTTTGTCATCCCAGCTCATCTACTGTACAAAGCTCAAATCCGCCCTGCTCTTGAATACTGTAGTCACGTGTGGGGTGGGGCTTCGTCCTCTTCCTTATCCCTTCTTGATCGTGTTCAACGAAAGGCCATCCGGCTGATCGACGATCCTTCCCTAACATCCAGTCTACGGTCGCTAGCTCATCGTCGGGCAGTTCCTTCATTGTCCCTGTTCTACCGCTACTACTTTGGTTTTTGTTCGTCGGAACTGGCCTCGGCAGTTCCTCTTCCTGCAACTTTTACCCATCCACCCCGTACACAGGCATCTAGTCATCCTTATCGGGTTTCTGTTCCCAGATGTCGTACCTCTTTACTCCAATCTTTTTTCACCAGAACTGACAAACTGTAACACTCTCCCCCTCCCTTTTCCCCAAACTTACAATCTCANCTGACATCCAGTCTACGGTCGTACACAAGCATCTAGTCATCCTTATCGGGTTTCTGCTCTCAGATGTCGTACCTCTTTACTCCAATCTTTTTTCCCCAGAACTGACAAACTGTAACACTCTCCCCCTCCCTTTTCCCCAAACTTACAATCTCACACTTTTTAAACGCAGAATCAATAAACTGGATCTTACGTGAATGTTCCCTTACTCTCCCCCTTACATTATGCTATTTGCTCATGGAGATTTCCCCGTTTACTGTAATTCACTTCGTAATAAAAAAAAATTACCTTTGTTACAGATTTAATTCTTGACACAGCCCTATGCTCGTGCGGGGATAGTGGTATCGATTTACTTCCAGATGGCAGACTCTCTGATCTAGACTATGCAGACGACATTGTGCTGAAAGGAGCCTCGACTCAGTTGACCGCGAAGCTCTGATGGGTTCCTTTCTTCAAAAACGGATGCCCCAGAAGTACGGT